TTACAGTGAGAGGGAGAAGGAGAGAGAGAGGGGAAACATTGATTGGCTGTCTCCTGCACACCGTCTACTGGGGATCTAGCCCCCAACCCAGGCATGTGCCCTAATCTGGAATTGAACCAGTAACCTCTTGGTGCATGGAACAATGCTTAGTCCACTGAGCCACACTGGCTGGGCTTGTTTTGACTTTTTTGATAGAAAGGAAGTTGTATAATTAAAGGTTCTTTGGTAATTGAATAAAACTTACACAATTGCTCTGTCCCGGGCCTCTTGAAAGCACATAAGTAGATATTTAATGGTTCTTTTCTAGTACATCACAGATGCTTAAAATATTAATTATGGTCAGCTAATTGTGTGGTTATTGGTACTCTTCTATTGAGAACAGTAACTCACAATACAGTTCTTTGCTTTATAATGTTCTGTCATGTCCCTGATAATGTAAAGGTGGATTGGTTTCTAATAAAGACATTTTAAAAAAATGGGACACAATTTAGAATCACAAAAAAGTTTAGCTGTCTCTGGAGGCATTACCAGATAAGTAATTTATGTTTTGTTTACATTATTGGAACTTCAGGCATATAGGTCAGGAGACTATCCTTAATTTTTTACACTAAAAGCCTTCCCTATTCTGAAGTACTGAGATTAGATTGTGTTGAGGGGAAGGAGGTTCTGAGAAACTGAGTTAGAAGAAGGCAACAGTGCGGGTGTCACTGGAACCGTATTGTGAAGGGGAGACACCTTCACTGACATCACAACTAATGCTTCACTAGTGTTCTAAAGTCAAGAGGTGTGGCTTTGGCTGGTGTGGTTCCATGGTTAGAGCATTGGCCCACGCAGTGAAGGGTTTCAGGTTTGATTCCTGGTCAAGGGCATGTACCTGGGTTGCAAGTTCATCCCCCGCCCGGTCAGGGCACGTGCAGGAGGCAACCAATGGATGTGTCTCTCTCACAATGATTCTCCCTCTCTCTCTTCCCCTTCCTCCCCCCTCCCTTCCATGCTCTCTCAAAATCATTGGAAAAAATATCCCTGGGTGAGGATTAACAACAACAAAAAGTCAGGAGGTGTGGGGATTGCTTACCACTTCCTATAAAGCAGTGGTTCTCAACTTTGGCTTCACATCAGAATCACTTGTGGAATTTTTAAAAATCTGCACACTAAGTCAATTAAATCAGATTCTCTGGGGATGGAACCTAGGCATCAGTATTTTTAAAGCTTCCCAAGGGGTACCAACGCGGAGCTGAAGTTAGAATCCCTGCAAAGTCCAGAGAGTATGTATTATATAGGTACAGGCTTTAGTTGTACCTCATCAATTATAATTAACTGTTTGGGAATTTCAGAATAAAACTTAAGGGTCATTTAGTACCAGATGGTCATTGAGCCTTAATCTGTACCAGATTCTTTTTTTTTAATTCTTGTCCAAGGATATTTTTCCATTGATTTTCAGATAGAGTGGGAGGAACGGAGAGAGAGAGAGAGACAGAGAGAGACAGGGACAGAGACACATTGATTGGTTGCCTCCTGCACCACCCTATCCAGGGTCAGGGATTGAACCACAATCGAGGTACGTACCCTTGAACGGAATCAAACCCGCACTCTAACCTCTGAGCGAAACCTGCCAAGGCCCAGATTCTTTTTTTAAAATATGTTTTTTAGAGAGATGGGAAGGGAGACATAGAAACATCAATGTGAGAGAGAAACATTGATCAACTGCCTCCTGCATGCCCCATACTGAGGATCAAGTCCACAACCTGGGCATGTGCCCTGACAGGGAATTGAACTGGGACCTCACAGTCCATGGGGCAATGCTCAACCAACTGAGCCACACCGGCCAGGGCTGTACCAGATTCTTATTATTTGCAGAGAATACAAAGATAAATAAGATAGGTTGACAAAGGAGCACAGTCTAGTGGAAGAGGTACAAATAATAATAAAAAAAAAATTGTATGGGGCATGTAGAATATTAAAATAGGTTTGTTTCGGGTATTACTGGAAATACAGTAGAAGGAGCAGTTATTTAACTCAGCCTGTGGTTTGGGATATGGAAGGTATGGGAATGAAATGAGAAATGGCTAAGATTTCACAGAGGATGTGATGAATTAGAGTTTATCAGGTAGAAAAGGGGAGAAAAGAGGAAGTTTTAAAAAATTACAACATGCAGATGTGAATAAATTGGATGAATAAGTGTTCAGGTATTGGTTGAAAAGACGACTGGCTATGAGATACTTGAGGTTATACTGCTAGAAAGGTAGATTAGAATCAGGTGGTGAAATGTCATAATTATAAACCACATACAGGAATGTGGATGCTATCTCACAGGGTGTCACAGGGTTAAATGCATACAGGCTCTAGTAAATCATCTTAGAGTGAAGCTGATCAGATGTGAAGCAGTTGGTAGTGTTGGAGGTTATAGTAATCCACACAGCATGGACTTTGTTTAAAGGCGTTTATAAAGAGCTGTTTAGTAAAGTTTAAATTACAATTAAAATAAAGCGCAGAGCTATTTAGGTCAAATAAATCTCTCAAATTTAAACTGCAGGTGCCAGTTTGTGTAGTACCTTCAGTGTAAGAGCCCAGTTTAAGATAATAAAGTTGTAAGGTTTTGTAGCATTTCTAAAGCAGTACCGTAGAAATACAATGAAGAGATGATGTTGGGCTGGAGATGAGAAATTAGCAAAAAGGTCCAGTAAGCCACCAGTACTTTCAGACAGGGTGGCTTACACTTGTGGGCTTCTCAGTTCCTCTACTGTTAAGTTGCCAGCATTGATAATACACTCTTCCTGGCCCCATCTATGCCGCATTTCTCCCATTCTTCACTGTCATTTGTCCTATTCTACTTCTCTGTGCATTGAACAAGGCTTTTTTATTTTCAGGTTGTGTTTGTTTCTTCTTTGGTATGGATTCTTAGATTCACACTCTGATGTTTCATAGAAACTTTCTTCTATTTCACTTGTAATTTAGCACTTCTACATCTGGCTGCTGCTTCCAACATCTCACTCTGGGAAGACGCACTAAAGCAGACTACTTGTTTTAGTTTATAGTTGTTGTCAACACTGGTCAGGAACTAAGCTTAGTCTTGGGTGGGAGAACCAGTATATTTCTATACCAGGTTGGTTACTATCACCATCAGAAACATTGTACCTTTGTTTAGATGGCTCCTTAGCCAAATAGTTTCATTACTGTAATTTCCTTTCCCCTCCCCCTTTATTTATCTATCTTTTCTTCAGGTCTGACTGCCTAAAATGAACAAGCATTAACATTTTACCATATTTATGTTGCTTCTTGCATCCTTTTCCCTCCCTTATTTAGCTGAGATCTATACATTGTAAACTCTTAGTCTTTTTACGTCTAAAACAATTCTTAAATGGTCATTTAACTAGTATAAAACTAAAGAGTGGCAGCTATTTTCTCTTAGCACTTGAAAGTCATTAGCTTCATTGTCTTTTGGGCTCTGTTGTTGCTAATGAGAAGTTGCTGTCAGTATAATTATTCCTATGTTGGTGATTTGTCTTTTCTTTTATGATTTTTCTTTTTATTCTTGCCATCCTGTAGTTTGATTGCAAGGTATGTAGATATAGACTGGTTTTTATTTATTTTTTTATTTCATAATATTTATTTCCTATCTAAGGATTCCAGCCTTTCTTCAAGTCTGGAACATTTTTAGCCTTATCTCTTCAGTATTTCCTCTGCCTCGCACTGTTCTAAACTTCTAGACTTCTGTTAGGTATATATGTTCCTCAGTATTTTTATCACTTTATTTCTGTGCTACAGTCTGGGTCAGTTCATCCATATTTTTCATTGTACAGTTCTCTTTTTGGACAGGTGTATTGGTGACTCACTGGGTAGCTATATCTCTATCTATCCTCTAGTCTGTCTGTCTGTCTATCTATCTATCTTTAAATGAAATAGGAGGACAAGTCACCTGCTGATAATGAGGGCTTCCAGGGTAAGATGAAGGAGACATAGAAAGTGGTGACGGTCACCAAATGAGCCTATCACTCATTTTGTGGTTAAAAAGCTTTTAACCACCCCTTCTATAGTCTTTATATTTTCCTTGAGCACTAAAGAGAACTTAGTTGTATTAGCTGAAAAAATAAAGATTTTTTTGTTTGTTTGCTTTTTACTTTATATTTTCAGAAGTTAAAGAAGAGAGATACTGAGAATTAGGAGATCTGTATTTTCATCTTGGTTCTGCCAGAGCTTCAGATTAGTTATTTAACTTTGCCAGTTTTAAAAGCTTATAAAATGGAATAATAGTATATATTGTGCCTATTTTTAGTACTGTATTGTTTTTATGAAGTTAATTGAGTTGACTGGTTATAAAAATGTTGAAAACCATAGCATTGTTCATAAAGTATAGAGATGTCAAAGTAGTATAACTCAGAGATTTAAATTATCTTGGTAATGCCATTTGTATGCTTATTTTTTCCAAATTAAAGTGGATAATGTGTTACAAATATAGTATTAAGTTTTGGAGAAAATATAATGTGTGCTTTTTTTAAAAAAAAATGGTCATCAATTCTAAGTATTTTAGTTTACGTGGTTTGTTAACTTGCTATAGTATTTTTAGAAAAATATGTTGCTGAAATATTAGTCATTTAAATTAGATCACAACTATATTCACCATCTATAGTGAATAATTTATTTGAATAAGCTTTATTGTAAAAATAACTGCTCTATATAATCTAAAGCAAATGACATTTTTGTCCTTTTAAATGTACTGGAACTTGCCCTGGCTGGTGTGACTTGGTTGGGCGGTGTCCTGTGCACAGAAAGGTTGCTGGTTTGAGTCCATCAGGGCACTTGCCTGGGTTTCATGCTCGATCCCCAGTAGGGGGTGTGCAGGAAGCAGCCAATTGATGTTCCACTCTTATACTTCTCTCTTCCTTCTCTCTCTTAAAAATAAAAATCAATAAAAAAATTTAAAATAAAAAATGTACTAGAACTAAACTTCATATTAATTTTATTTAAGATAAATTATATTTAATCTTTTTCTTGTTTGGCAGGCAACCAGATAAACTGGTGGTGGTTTGGACAAGAAGAAGCCGAAGGAAGTCTTCTAAGGTTAGTCTGTTTCTGCATTTCTTACCTAAGTATTAAATTCAACTTTAAATAAAATTATTAAGCCCAGTTGGTATGGCTCAGTGGTTGAGTGTTGACCCATGCACCAAGAGGTCTCCAGTTTGATTCCCGGTCAGGGCACATGCCCAGGTTGTAGGCCCAATCCCCAGTGTGTGGGGGGGCATACAGGAGGCAACCAATAGATGTTTCTATCTCTCTCCTTCCTCTATCAAGAAAAAAAAAAGTTTAAAAAAATTAAATTAAATTATTAATCTTCTTTGGTCCTACAGTTGAATATTTTAAAGTATTATTAGATATTTTGGGTTATGTCTAGTCTGCTAAAATGATTGACCAGGCACTGTGATCTTGTTACTACAGTTCTTAAAATGGGAGCCAGATACCTGAGCTTTGATCTTAGATTTGGTAGCCTTGAGTAAGTAGTTATTTAACTTTCCTATACTACGTTATCACAAATTAAATAAGTACCACTTACAAAATTGTACTTAGGAATAATTTATTCAGATTTCAAGAGGATGAAGTTAGGGCACACGTAAGAAATGATGAATCTGAATCCATTGCTGAGTTGCAGAAGAGATGGATTTGATTTTTTCAAAGGCTTTAATTTTTTGGTACTGATAGCTTTGTGGAGAGTAGAATAAAATTTTAAAATGTTCAATAGCAATTGTACAGATATTTAAAAAATTCATTATATAGGTAAGTAAATTCAAGTATATTTTTATAAGCACACAATAACTCTAAGTATGTTTATTGGATACTGAGTTTCCACAAGTAGGTCTATGTAAAGAAAATTGAATTGAATTTCAGAATTTAAAATTTTTACTAAGGCATCTCTTCAGATTTCATTTTTATTGAGCTAGAATGTACTTACAGCTCTGGCCAGTTTGGCTCAGCAGTTAGAGTGGACCTATGAGTCTCAGGTTCGATTCCGGTCAAGATCATGTACCTTGGTTGCGATTCATCCCTGGACCTGGTTGGGGTTGTGCCAGAGGCAGCCACTTGATATGTCCCTTTCACGTCAATGTTTCTCTCTCTCTCTCTCTCTCTCTCTCTTCCTCTTCCTCTCTCTCCCTCCCACTCTATCTGAACAAAAATGGAAAAATGCCCTTGACTGAGGATAAAAAAATAAATAAATAAAAGAAAATGTACTTACAGTATAATATACAGATGTTAATTATATGATTTAGTAAGTTTTGATTAATATATACTTGTGTAATTTTTATTCCTATCAAACACGGACTATTTTCATCATATGATTTTGAGATGTATTCATGCTATTTTGTGTATAGGTAGTTTTCTTTTAATTGCTGAGAAGTATTTCATTATGTAAATATACCAAGGTTTAATTATGTGTGCTATCCCTGTTGATGAACATTTGCTTCATTTCAGTGAATATTGTAAATATTCACTATTGTGAATGCAGCTGCTATGAATGTTACTACTATACAGGTATTTTGGGGGACAAATATCTTCATTTCTTTTGGGCAGATACTTAGGAATGGAATCACAGGGTAATAGGTAAATATATTTTTTACTTTTATTTTTTTAAATCCTCACTCGAGGATATTCTTTCATTTATTTTCAGACAGAGTGGGAGGGAGGGGTGTGGGGAAGGGAGGGGGGAGGGAGAGAGAGAGAGAGAGAGAGAGAGAGAGAGAGAGAGAAATGTGGATGTGAAAGAGACATATTAATTGGTTGCCTCCTGCACGACCCCGACCAAGGCTGGGACTGAACCACAACTGAGGTATGTGCCCTTGATTGGAATCGAACCCGTGAGTATTTGGTCCAAGGGCTGGCACTCTAACAGCTGAGCCAAACAGTCCATGGCCATTTTTTACTTTTAAATATAATCCCACTAGCATTATAGGAAATGTTCAGTTACTTCATAGCATGAAAGGTATCTTCTTCAAATAATACATTTATAGTTTTAGGGCATTATATTATGGACCTGGTATATATTTTTTTTATCCATTACATATGGGTTCTGAAAATAACTTAAGGTCTTCTGTCAGTTTTGCTGACTGGGTCTTAAGCTTTGTGGAAAGGAACAATATAAGATCATCTATTAAGTATAATAGATGAATATGACTACAACTGTAAACATTAGATAGTACCTAAATGTATTTAACTATCAACAGAAAATGATTCCCCCTTTTAATAATTAGATACCTATTATTTTCTTAAGAAAATTATGAAATATCATGAAATACTTTAGATTATAGGTCAATTCAGAATACCCATGTTTGAGGTTAAATACACTTTTTTTAGTTGTATTTTTAAAAGTCAGTCAGATATTTTTTTATTTTAGGTCCAGATTTTTTTATATTGTATCAAATATTAATTGAGTCCATATAGTGAAATACAAATGTGAAATGCAAAAATAAGGATACAGCTTGGTTTTTCTCAGAATGCAGTATGTTCTAAAAGGAATTATTTCTTTTTTTTTTATCCTCACCTGAGAACAGATAGAGCCGGAGGGAGAGAGGGAGGAAGAGAGAGAGAGAGAAACATCAATGTGAGAGAGACACATTGACTGACTGCCACCCACACGACCCCAACAGGGGCCGGGGACAAACTGCAACTGAGGTATGTGTCCCTAGTGGGAACCGAACCCGGGTCTCTCTGGTCTGCAGACCGATGCTCTAACCGCTGAGCCAAACGGGCCAGAGCAAGAATTATTTTTTGTTGAACTAATTTTCCAGCTGTGATGCTTTTAATATTTTAAATCTCTTCTGTATATTTTAGAATCATTGTGTTTTATCTTGAAACATTACAGTACAGATGTACTTATTTAGAAAAGTTTATGAGACCCCATAGTGTGTTAAGCTTATTATAGCATATGTCTAGTATGTGTGTGTGTGTGTGAATATATATGTGTGTGTGTGTGTGTGTATATATATATGCATATGTATATATAGCATGCTGTTTTATAAATTGTATGCAACAGCTGAATAACACATAAAAATCAATTCCAGAAGCTGTGGAGGAAATGATTATGGTATTATTGTAAAAGTTAAGCAAATAACTCAAGATTCATGACATTTTGGAATTCTTGTTCCTAGCTATTTTTTAAAAAATATTAGCTATCAGTTATATTAAATCCAAAGAATAGAATCATTGTTTTCTTTTTGAAGACTTCTCTGTTTACTAACATATTTTCTTTAAAATATACATTATTTGCTGCTAAGTCCTACTGAAATCACTTACGGGAAAACAGATCTTGGTAACCACAAACCAGAAAATATTCTAGTTATTTTTTTCTCCAATTTTTATTAATTTATTTTTGTTATAGATGTTTTTCTCCTTTTACCCCCGAGACTCCCTCCTCCCTATCCTGCCCCCTAGCATTGTTGTCTATGTCCATTGGTTATGCATACATGCATATAAGTACTTTGATTTATCTCATCCATCCCCCTGCCCTTCCTCTTCTGAGGTATGTCAGTCTGAACCATACTCCTTTCTATGTCTCTGGGTCTGTTTTGTTCATCAGCTTATTTTGTTCATTATATTCCACAAATAAGTGAGATCATGTGGTATTTGTTTTTCACTGACTGGCTTATTTCGCTTAGCATAATGCTCTCCAGGCCCCTCCATGTCATCTCAAAGGATAAGAGATTTTTCTTTCAGCTACATAGTATTCCATTGTGTATATGTACCACCGCTTTTTTTATCCACTCATCTATTGATGTACACTTGGGCTGTTTCCAGATCTTAGCAATTATAAATAGTGCTGCTATGAACATAGAGGTACATATATTCTTTCTGATTGGTGTTTCAGGCTTCTTAGGGTATATTCCTAGAAGTGGGATCACTGGGTCAAATGGCAGATTAATTTTTAATTTTTTGAGGAAACACCATATTGTTTCCTATAGTGGCTGCACCAGTCTGCATTCCCACCAGCAGTGTACTGGAGTCCCCTGTTCTCCACACCCTTGTCAGCACTTGTTGTTTGATGATTTGTTGATGACAGCCATTCTGGCAGGTGTGAGGTGATACCTCATCGTTGTTTTAATTTGCATCTCTCTGATGATTAGTGATGTTGAGTATTTCTTCATATGTCTCTTGGTCATTTGTATGTTCTGTTTGGAGAGGTGTCTATTTAGGTCCTTTGCCCATTTTTTGATTGGGTTCTTTGTCTTCCTTTTGTTGAGTTGTATGAGCACTCTATGTATTTTGGAAATTAACCCCTTATCTGATGTATCATTGGCGATTGTGCTCTCCCATGTAGTGGGTTCCCTTTCCATTTTGATGATTGTTTCTTTTGCTGTGCAGAAGCTTTTGAGTTTGATGTAGTCCCATGTGTTCATTTTCTCCTTTGTTTCTATTGCCTTAGGTGATGTATCAGTGAAGATTCTGCTGCATATGGTGTCTGAAATTTTGTTGCTTACATTTTTTTCTACGATTTTTATGAATTCACCAGTCACATTTAAGTCTTTTATCCATTTTGAGTCCATTTTTGTGTATGGTATATACAAGTTGATGGTCTAGTTTCATTTTTTTTTTGCATGTAGCTGTTTAGTTTTCCCAATACCATTTATTAAAGAGGCTGTCTTTACTCCATTGTATGCTCTTGCCACCTCTCTCAAATATTAATTGAGCCATAATCTCTTGGGTCCATTTCTGGGTTCTCTGTTCTGTTCCACTGGTCTATCTGCCTGTTCTTGTGCCAGTACCAGGCTGTTTTGATTACAGTAGCTTTGTAGTATAACCTGATATCTAGTATTGTGATCCCACCTACTTTGTCCTTTTTCAAGATTGTGGTGGCTATTCTGGGTCTTTTTTGGTTCCATATGAACTTTTGAAGTATTTGTTCTAGTTCTGTGAAATATGTCATTGGTATTTTGATGGGGATTGCTTTGCATATATAGATTGCTTTGGGTAATATGGACATTTTAATGATGTTAGTTCTTTCAATCCATGAACAAGATATGTGTTTCCACTTTTTTATATATTCCTCTATTTCTTTTCTCAATGTCCTGTAGTTT